CGTAAAGCTGTAGAAGAGTAAGCAGGAAAAATTACCATACACAGGGCTTGATAACACATGGCGCAGTGGCGTGGATAACCAAAACTGTGCAGATAAGTGCCATAGGCATTCAGCGGTTCGCCTGTCTGGTGCGACAGTGGCCAGGCGTACTACACTAACTGTACCAACGGAGTTACTATTAAACCCACGCCACTGAACATCTTTATACAAGGATAAACCAGGTTTACTATTCACAGGCTAATGCAGGGACAAAACCCAATAAGCCAAATATATACCAAATATATACCAGCAAGTAGTACAAGTATAATATTCTAAGAATGTCAACTGATATATCCATAACCACATTCAAATTTTCAGATTCAAATACCAGCCTGAGAATCCTAAAAACAGGGACCAGTCATACTCGTCTGGTATACAGAAGGTTCCGGAATTTTTGGACCCAAGTCGAAAACAACGATTTCGCCGAGTTTAGGAGAATAGGCAACAGTGTTCCAGACTGAAGTAATAGCCATACCATAGTGCGCAAAAAAAATAATAAATTAGCAAATAACGGAAAAACTATTGCCATCTACTCTGACACCCAAGCAGCTTTAAGGGCAATTCTTTCACCAGAAATTAAATCATGAATTGTGAAAGATTTCCTGGAAGACCTGACAGAGCTAAGTAATCAAAACAAGATGACTTTAGCCTGAGTACCAGGCCACCAAGGATATAAAAGGAAATAAAATAGTCAACGAACTAGCCCGAAAGGCTCAGATAAGGTATGGACAGACCTCGAACCCTTCTGTGGAGTTACTAAGACATTGGTCAAGGCATCCATTAAACAATGGATACTGGAAGTGTCAGGAATGGTGGAACAACTATCCAGGATTGAGACAAGCCAAAAAGTTCATTAGGTGACCATCGGCCAAGTTTATGAAAGACCTACTGGGTAAAAACGACAAATCGTTAGGATAACAGTAGGTCTTACCAGACACTGGCGCCTAAGAAGGCACACGAGTGTCATTAATCCAGTAGAAGAAGCAACACTGTGCAGGTTTTGTGAAGAAAAAATAGAAACATCGATCCACGTCTTGTGCCAGTGTGAAGGCCTGGCTAGATTGAGATTTCTAACACTAGGAGAAGAAAAGCCATACGCATGTAATTACAAGCGGGAGCCACTATCAAGTTTAATAAAAAAGACCAAGCTAACAAAAACGATGAAAGTCACTTCTCTAAAAATTAGTTAAATATACAATAAAAAGCTGAGAGTTTACAGTATATGCTACAATGAAGCTCATAGTTACGAAGTTACAGTGCAAAACGATGAATGCCACGGACAAACCCAACAAAATAGTCAGTGTGCGACTTGCGTAAAGAAGAATAAGAACAAAGACAAGACGTTTTTCACATACTACTTCAGTTTCATTTTCCTGCTTTACGTGTATTTTGGTTTCGAAACTTAAAATTTAATTTACAGAGAATGAAATTTTAATGACCTTCATCGTTTTTGGTACGAAAAGGTCGCGGTGGACAATGACAAATAATGTCCACCTCCTTTTAAATCTAATCTTGTCAAAAGAGCCATAAATATAGCCACCGAGAAGGAATTTTTGAAAATGTTAAAACTATTTTCAGCAACTAGTACGTTTATTGCTCGGCTAATGAACTGAGAAAATTGCTCTCCTAAATGGTAAGGTGACACGAAATTAGTTTGAGATTTCGAAAATTTATGTGATGTGGCCATTAGCTAAAAAAGTCGCGTAACGGGTGTACGTCCATGTGCTGTAAATGACGCTTTCTACGTGTCCTCTAAAGCAAGATTTGGATTTGGTTCCACATAACTATGAGCTTTTACAGAATGATAATATCAGAGAAAATATATGACCGAAGAAGTTAAAAGTGTATGGTTCCACAGCTGAGTTACTTTTTATTATGAGTACCTAGTAAATGATTAGTTTCTCTTAGTTTTTTTTAAGTGTTTAGAAATGTTTACCATCACAGACACGACCTCCACCACCGGCTGCACTGTAACACACCCCAGGTTAATGAAACCAAGCACATCGACATTGATCAGTTAGTGTCGCATTAGTGTTACACTGCAGTCGTGAGTTACTGTAAGAAAAAGTAAACGAACATCAAAATATAATCAGCCCAAAATAAAAAAAACGAAAAACCTCACAGCAAACGGTAAGACTGTCGTCCGCCATCCGTATTTTGCGATATCTTGATTTGTTCCTTACTGGAAATTAGTTCTTTTCAAAATGTCCTCAATTCAATGTTCCTAAAATAGATAACGTACAGTGTGGACATCAAAGAGTCTAGAGTCTTTTATAAGTATGTCGACCTCTATTGCTACGCTGGATAAGTATTGATTTTTTATACAGGGCGTCCCATTATGTTTTACAGTATTTTAACAACTTTTAAACGAATAAAGAAACATGAGCTTTCCACTAATATGTTTCAATTTCTTTTGGACCTATTCAACTTTTTGTCACTTAATTGAAAAATAAAATGGCGTTCTTTTAATACTTTCGATTACCTCTAAAGCCCCCAAGGTTTTTAAAATTGATGCAGAAATTACTGAGCAATTTAAATTTAAGCATAAATGCGCAGCAAAATTAGTAGTCAACAATAGATGATTATCAATAATTTTCGAGTAGACTTAAACACTTAAACTCAAGATTTTTGCATAAAAATCGTATTTTCTGACAGATAAAAGGCAAATGTAATTCATTCCTCAGAAACTTGCTTAGTTATTAGCAAAATTGTATCACTAAGATTGTAAATTGTAAGGGATTGAGAACAAATTTATTAAATCCAATATGAACTTATAAATAATTTGAAATATTTCTCTAAAATCGCTCTTACGATTCAATTTTAACCCCTGAAACTGACTGAGCTTGTATGGGGAAGGGACGGCTATTATTATTATTATCTGCCTTTGTGCTCCGGGGCGACTTAAATATGATTGATGGTGCCATTTGACTTACAGGTGAGGAAAACCCGAAAAACCTCACCGACCATCATCGAAACGGTAACGCATGATGATTTATAATCTGAATGACATCAACATAAATTACTGCTAATACGGCACCCATCAAATCCTACAACAAACCATACAAATTAATTAAAAAATCACATGGTCTGTTCTAGGATTCGAAGCTGTGTTCGCTAATCCACTGAAAGGCCCATAAATGAATACAGACCTCTCGAACTCGAACATACTAGGCTACCGAGTCGATATATCTTTATTCGTTTAAAAGTTATAAGTTGTTAAAATTCCGGTAAATAATTGGACGTGGTATAAATTTCAATTTAATTAAGTTGTTTTAAAAATATAAATGTTTATTTTTTGCTCAGGGTGTTTTTATATTTCATAAATATCAAAAATTTCATATTTTTTTTTTATATCTTTTGAAATCTGTTTTAATGCAACTACCAAAATCAATACAGTTCTGTCGTAATTCGATGTTCTTCACACACAAATATTAGATTGTCCAATAAAAAAAAAATGGGCTACCCAAACTGTAATTTTTACATATATACTTATATAGGGTGATACTAAACTATACACTTACTGTATCTTAAAATCAGGTGAAATTGAATTAATATCCTATCATTTTATTATTTTTTTAAACTATTATAAAGATGCCCTTGATAGCAATAAGAAAAACAAATTTTCTATAAAAGTATATTCATCATTTATAAAATCACAAAATATTGATACAAGGAAAAATAAATGAAGCTCTATAAGGACGAAGCCTATTAATAAAAATGGTTAAGGGGACTTGAATATGAAATTTTTAGTAAAAATCTATAAGCTTCGAAGCCTATAGATTACTATTGGGAGTTAAGGAGATCTATTAAACTGTGAAGAGTATAATATAGAACGCTAAGCATTATATATCCTTATTCTAGTTTAATAATGAGACCTGTATGGTTTTGGTAGTTCTTACTTATAATAAAGTAGGTATTCAAAGTTAAGTACATTCACCTGTGTCACTCCAAACAGGTAACTTATAGACATAATACAAAATTAACACTTTTGGACATTTGCCATTCTTGTTGAACTCAAAATGGACTAAAAGTGACTATACCACAGTTAACAAAGAGTTATTTGGAAGCACCCACAAGGTATAATGAAAAAAATCAAGATGCTGAAGTGTAATAGTTTTGATACAGTAATGTCACTATGTTCAACTCCATCTTTGACACAAATATTTCGTCATCGTCATCTATAGAATCAATTTTCCTAGAAAGGTAATATCGATTTTATTTAACTACATCTCGCATATAAAAACACCCTGTATATATTTTAATTTTTTTTGTATCCATAAAGCGATATAAATACTTAATTTTGAAGAAAATGGAAATTTACGGACATTGTTAAATTAACTAAAAAAAGGCGCGGGTGGCGGACATCGTGCAAATGGCATTCGTATAACCGTTAGAAGAATAGACACTCTTATACCTCTCTTCAACTTAACATCTATTTACCAACCTAAATAGTATAATCAATTAATAAACAAAATATTATTAGATAGATATAATTTAAAATAGATTAAAAATAGTAGATAGAGATAAAACTATAATATAATTCATGCTGATTGATATTAGAATAGAAAATGAATTGGCTAAAAGAGATTAATGTTGAATCGAAGCGTATACGAGAGTGTCCTTTTGGCATTACCTGGGGCTTTCTCCAACGATTTTCGAACGCCTGCTAAATGTTTTAATAGTGTAACTCAATAACTAATAAAAATAAAATTGTAACACGCACACTCACAAACACTCATCGAAATAACTAACTGTTTACATTTTAGTGTTTGAGAAGTCGGGATCTCATGTTCTGCCAAATTTCAATACAATTCTATGGATATACGAATCACCAACTGTCTTCATGACATATGAGGCTAGAAAATATGAAATATCATTACGATCGGTTGGTGATTTAGTTGGTGCTGCACTTGTTTTGTGCACAAAAATGCCACAGCAAGTTAGTTTTTTTTAGGTCTTACCCGTACTGACTCGGCAGAAGGGTTGGGTACGCTCCTGCTCTCACACTTTGAAATGGAAATCCTGAAAAAAAAAATCAAAAATAAGTTGAAAAAGCCAAATGTGTACATATTAAAAACTTATTTACATTAATAATACAATTAACATTATTTAACTCAATATAGTATCAAGAGAATTCGATCACGGATTTTTTTTTAGTAAAGCATTTACCATTATTACAATCATATATACAGGGTGTCGCGAAATTAGACGGTCATATTTTAACAGCATAATCTACATCCTAAAATAGGAGTAAAAGTTTATATAAACCTAGGTCGGAAAACGTTTCCACTCTTCACTCTTTTGTAAATATTTTCTAAACGTTTGAAGATAACTAAGTGAAATTTGGTACAAATGCGTACCTTTTTACGCTCTATTTAATTGACTAAACCTCAGTTTTTGATCATCTTCATAGGTGGGTAAATTAGCGGGGGCTTAGGGTAAAATTGCCCTTAGTTTTTTTTGTTGACAGTTTTTAACATTTTTGACCATAAAATTTGGAAAACCAATGTTTTCTTTATAATAAAGCAACTTTTGTTGCATCTCGCTAGGACGCACCATTTTCAAGAAAAAAGCATTTGAAAATTTCATGATAAGTTATTCGAAACTGTAAACAATAATTAGTAGGCCTGTGGAATCAGAAATTTTATTATTTTTTTACTTTGGAACACCGGTGACTAAAGAAATTTTAGAAAATATTTATAAAAATGTGCCATCAGGACTTTACACCCTGTATCTCGAAAACGAAACGTTTTCGGACCTATGTTTATATGAACTTTTATTCCTATTTTAGGATGTAGATTACGCTGTTAAAATATGACCGTCTAATTTCGAGACACCCTGTATATATACAATCATTAAGATCAATCAGCAATTTTATTCTAACCTAACTTATCTAGGGACGAAAAATTTCATGGGAGGAATATGTTTAGTTTAGAATCAAGCCTCCATGCCATACTTGGTCAAAATCCTGAGCCACATCCAAAAATACGGTGAAGCAAACTTTTTTCTTCTAGGGACTTCTCGATGATGTCTGTGATTCTATGAACTTGGTCGATGTTCGAATGTTTTTCTCTGAAGCCAAACTGGTAGAAAGGTATTGGATCCTTTTCTTCTATTATGGGTTTCAATCTCTTAAAAAGCAATATTTCACAGTTTCGAGATAACAGACAACAAGAAGATGGGTGTGTACTGCGTAACTTCAAGGAGAAGATTACCTGGCTTAGGTATCATTATAACTTCTGCCACCTTCCACGTCTAAAGGAGGCATTGATAAGATTGGTCATTTTGACAAATGCTTTCCGTGGAAGCATTTTCAAAATTTCCTCGTTAATTAGGTTAAATCAGGAGGCTTTTTTCAGATTTATTATACTTTTCACACAGTAGTCTGTGAAGAGTATTATGCATTCGCTTCATCTGTCTGTCTGTCCGTGCGTCCGTCCCATATCACGTTTTTTGTACGCACGATAAGTCAAAAACGAAAAAAGATATCAATTTAAAAAATTTAGGAAAATCAAGCTATACGGGACGAATCCTATTGATTTTGAAAAATCTGAATAAAGGGGGGTAGAAATTAAAAAAAAAATCGTAACTCAAAAACTAAAAATGATATCAACTTGAAATTTTTAGCAAAAATCAAGCTCCACAAGGGGAAAAAGCCTATTGATTTTGAAAAAATCTAATTAAAAATGAGGGATTAAGGGGGGGTTGAAATAAAAAAATTAAAACGAAAAGCGATATTGACCATGAGATTTTTAGTAAAAATCAAGCTCTATAAGAAAATGAAGCCTATTGATGCTGAAAAAATCTGAATTAAAAAATTAAAATGAGGGGTTAAGGGGGGTTGAAAATAAAAAAAATCAAAAATCAAAAACGAAAAGCGATACCAACATGAATTTTTTAGTAAAAATCAAGCTCTATAAGAAGAATAAGCTTACTGATTCTGAAAACATTTAAAATAAAATGGAGGGTTGAGGGATTGAAATAGTTAAAAAAAATCCTAACTAAAAAACGAAAAAGATATCAACTTGAAATTTTTAGTAAAAAACAAGCTCTACAAGAAAATGAAGCCTATTGATTCTAAAAAAATCTGACTAAAAATGGGGAATAAGGGGGGTTGAAATTAGGGCTGGGTGTTTATCAAAATAATATATTATCGATTATTTAAAATAATCGACTATTGAAAAAAAAAACGATTAATCGAAAAAAATCCATCAATCGAAAATAATCGATTATTCGAAAATAATAGATTAATCGAAAATAATCGATTGTCGAAAATAATCGATTAATCGAAAATAGTTGAATAATCGATTAATCAATAATAATTGGTAAATTAAAAATAATCGATTAATCGCAAATAATCGAGTAATTGACAAATCAAAAATAATCGATTAATCGATTACTCAAAAATAATCGGTTATCGATTAAAAAAAATAATCGATTATTTTGCCCATCCCTAGTTGAAATATTGAAAAAAAAAATCCTAATTCAGAGACAAAACACGATATTAAATTGAAATCTTCAGGAAAAATCAAGCTTTATAAGTAAATGAAGCCTATTTATTCAGAAAAAAAAATTAAAAAAATGAGGGGTCAAGGGGAGTTGAAATATTTTAAAAAATCCTAACCCAAAAACGAAAAAAATATCAACTTGAAATTTTTAGCAAAAATCAAGCTCTATATAGAGACAAAGCCAATGATTTAAAAAAAATTAAGAACGAAATGGAGGGTTAACCCTTAAGGAGGGTTGAAATAACAAAAAATAGAAATCAAACACCAAAAGCGATATCAACATAATATCTTCAGGAAAATCAAGCTTTCTTAAAAAAATATGAATAAAAATGAGGGATTAAGGAGAGCGGAGTCTGTTCAACTGTGAAGAGTATAATATAGAATGCCAAGCATTATATATCTTCATTCTAGTATTTGTTTGGATTTCAATATAAACTTCTTTTGGATAGGTACGTTTAACGACTGTGTCTTCTTGAGTTAGTCCATCCAGTCTTGAAGGTCTTCACCACTACTGGGTTGGAAGGTACCTCTAAATGTTCTGCAAATCTGTTTTCTTATTGCAAAGTGGTTTCTACATTTAATCTCAGGATTGTTTTCTTACACTGCTTGTTAAATATTTTTTTGACAAAAACTTCAACTTCTTAGTCTAATTGTTCCTTCTTAAGTTCTTAATGAAATAGAGAGATCAATTAGTTTTAGGTTGATTTTTAAACTTTTCCAGTCTGACCTTGTTGACTAGTTTAGGTAAATTTTCTCTTTTGATTACAATATTACTCAATATATACATATAATTTGAGGCGATATTCTTGATAATAAAAAAATTATGAAATCAGGAATTTTATTCTAATCTGTGGGTCAGTATGTAGGCTTTCCAGTTGTCATTTGTGTTGATGACATGATACTAACAGTTCTTTTCCTTTGGTTGTTGTCAGTCTATTTTCCCAGCGAGTATGTTTTGTATTGAAGTCTTCTTCCATTATGAATCTGTATCCTTGGCTATCCAGAAAGTCAACGTATTTATTATTCTTTATAACATGTCTTGGTGGGATATATAAAGCTGTGATCACAATTTTATAAGTTTTTGTTTTAATATTGACTGATGTATTTCTACTGTTTGGTAACCCATTTCTTGATGGTGTAAAATGGATTCCTTAATTACAACTGCACATCCGTCTTTTGCCGCATTATTTGAATTGATTGTATGGTACACTTTATACCCTTTAAATTTGATGAAAAACTCTTTTGTGAAATGTGTCTCAGCAATCAGACGGACATCATTTTTTTCTTATTCTAGAATTGTTTGCAGCTCTTGTTGATGCTGCAGCAATCTATTTACGATACATTCAAAAATTCTAAGATAATTGGCCATTTTTAGCTTTAGAAATCGCTCCTTGAGCACGATGTTCCAAATTTGAAATACGCTTATCCATCTTGTCCAGTCTATCTAAGATTCTTTAATATTGTTTTATATTTTATTTAGCTGGTTGTTTTTTCCTCAAGTTTCCTTCAACTACTTGGCTATGTTTTGTATTCATTATTATTTTGAGTTGTTTTTCTATTATTATTTGATGTCTCATTTTTCTCTACAAAAAAGAGTAATACTTTACTTATGATAAAACTGATATTTTGTTGACAAATTTTCCATTATATTCTTTTAGTATGTTTTTCATTAAAACAATAAAATAGATAAGGAGTTTTTATTCAATTGTTGCAATTTTTAATATTTTATCATTATTATTATTTTTTCTAGATTTTAAATAATAATGGACCTTTCCCGTTATTGATGATCTCTATTACTTATGCGCAAATTCTACTTCCGCTTAAAATCATCAAAATGTATTGTTATACATCCGCAAATGTCATTTTGTTTTTGAGTTTGATAGTAATGGTAGGGGAGCCAGTGACACTTTTAGGTGTGTTATTTGCGAAAAGTAAAATTTTATTACAAATATATCGTTCATTCTTATCTTCTAGAACATAGAACTAGTTTGCTACGCAGCGATGGACCCCTCGACGATGACGTTATAAAAAAGCATGTGTAGAAAATGTCATAGAAGCACAAACTTGAAACTTTCAGATATTATTTACAACATTAGTAGAAAAAAGTTTCTTGAAATTCGGCGCACGGTGGGTACCTTCTTGCTTGCCGACAGGGCATTTCACCGCTAGATCGATTGCAACAAAATATTTTCATCTTCTACAGGGTAAGAGTTAACGATACATTTATAATTTAGCCTTCTGCAAATGTGTACTAAAAAAGTTTCACTGGCTCCCTACTATATAGAATCGATGACAGTTGTTTAAACTAACGATGACATGAGGTAATCGTAGTAGTTAACCCAACAGTTGTAAGGTGAGTATAAGAAAAAGATAGCAGAAAGTGTTTGGAAAATTACTAGATTCAAAAGTTTCGCGCTTTTTTCGCGTATGAGTAATGCGAAATTATCGAATAATGGGAAAGGTCAATTGTGAAATACTACTAGGGTCCAATAATAATAAGAACGCAGCTAGCTACGTCATCACTAGGCGAAGTAATTCGTTGGCAATCGCCACCTACTAGGAGTTTAGTGGCGTATTAACCATAGATAAATTAATATGTAAGATGAACCGTTTAAATACACGGCACTGGTAACAAGTTTAGTTCCTCAGCATACTATTTGAAGCCACCATCGCAATAAAATGAAAGCGATGTTGCCAGTTTCCATAAACTTTCATGAGATTAGAGTTATTTCAAACATTTTATTTTGTTTTTGTCAAGCTCGATACCATCCATACTATTGCTGGGATATTTTAAAAAGAGGTTTGACAACTATGTTGACAACCTCGTAAAATGAAAAACGGAATGGCGGAAGACGAAATGGGCGAATTACAATAAAATAAAATAATAATAAAAGTTATTTTCATAATATATCCCTCAGGGGATATATTGTGGCTATTTTATGATTATGATGTAACCCATAGGGTTATTTTAAGGTTAAGAAGATTCATATGTTCTGATTTGATGTAATTAGTAAGTAAGTAACATTAGGTGTTTAATTTGTTTAAGGACTTTGTTTATCATTGTTTTCTTAGTCTTACCGAAATATAATTTCATTTTGAATCTTTTTTTTAATTCTTTTTGAATATATTTGTAACAATAACAAAACATATGACCCAGGTAAAGCGTCGAAAGGTAAAGCTAAGTATTCTTGTTTAAATAAGTATTCTAATATTCAAGCTTGGTATTCAAATAAAAACTATTTTTCATTTTCTTTCTGATGTTAAAATTCGTGAGAACTGGTTTAAGAATTTAAATTTAATTTTAGATAATAAAACTTGCTCTTTGTAAAGATCATTTTTTTGCCAGTCTTAGCAAAATTGCCCTAAAACATAAACGACTAATTACAAATGCTGTACCAATTTTATTAGATAATAGTACATTCAGTTTTACTATACCCAACTATACTCAACCCGAGAGTCAGATTTTAGAAAATGTTGAGGGTGAAAAAACATACACAGCAGCATAAGACAGATTTGCTTACCTATCCACAACGATAAACAAGAAATGAGTTGCAAACGTAAACTTAGTATTAGTGATAAACCATTTGAACAACCCTCAAAACGAAGAAAACCTGTTTTACAACAAATAAAGGAAAGTAGAGTCAAAAATTTAACTCCTAAAGAGAAAAGGCTTTATTTCATTAATACAAAACAAAATATTAGAATTTGTAAGCTAAAGAAAGCTCTTAGTGTTTCCAAAAATAAACGAATTTTAGACAAATTAAAAATAACTTGTACTTATAAGAATGGCCATCATTTTGATAGGTAAGAGAAATTGTTCAATAACACTTTTTTGTTTTTATAGAAACACCTAACACCGACATCAAAATGTGGTCCGTTTTTCCAAGAATAAGAGGGAACTACTATTAATTTTACTTAAAATTATTATTTAATATTGAGTACACGTTTAAATGCACCTTACTTGTATTGAATGACCGTCAGACCGTCAGATAGTTACCGATTTAGGTGCCCCATTTTCGCATACAAGTCTTGAAGAGGGTTGAAAAGTACATCAATGTTGAGTAGAATAAAAGAAAATTTACGAGTGGCTCTTGGGGATAACACATGAAAAATTCGATTTTCCCTATCAGAAAAATTTTCCGACCCCAAAATGCACTTATACATTCGGGTCGTTCAAGAAAATATGTTTTTCGGATTAGTGACGATGTACGTTTTCATTCATTCGATGGGCTTGTGTGGAAAAATCGGGTAAAATCTCGATTTTTCCTTAGAATGTTACGCCCTTATTTCAACCCTTTAGCCACTTGCAACATTAAAGCCCTTGGTTTTCCGAAGCCTAGTTTTATTAATTAATCATATAGTGAACACGGCTTGCGTGGAAATATGGGCAACAAAAAACTTTTCATTTTTGTTAGGGAAAATCGAATTTTCCATGTGTTATCACCAGGAGCCACTCGTAAATTTTCTTTTATTCTACTTAAAATCGATGTACTTTTCAACCCTCTTCGAGGCTTGTATGCGAAAATGGGGCACCTAAACTTGTCACTATCTGACGGTCTAATACCTGTGCTTCAAATATTTTAATATAAATGTTTCTTTATTTATATTTTTTGGGGTTTTATTACTTTAACAAACTAATATTTATTTTAAATACAATATTTTTAATTTAAATATTAGTTTTTTTAGAGTAATGAATGCCAAAAAATGTAAATAAATAATAAAGGACATTTGAATGAACCGCGGGTACGCTTTACAATCTTCTTTTTATTTTCTTCTTTTTTGTTGCCTTTAACTATCAAGCTAATCAACCAATTGTGTAGTGTGCGATGGTGGCTCCAAATAGTATGCTGAGCAACTAATAACTTCTTACCAGTGCCGTGCATTAAACGATTTATCTTACATATTAATTTATCTATGATATTAACATTATAGGAGTATAGGAATTATTTTTTAAACCAAACAACTTACTCATTCCTTATGTATTGATAATATATTTTGTAATTCTAAATGATGTAGCAGTCTAACAGTGTTCTTCTTAGTATAATTGTACTCTACAAATTTTATTAAACTACAATTTGTTTGAATTTAGGTACAAAACATTAAAGAGTTTATCAAAATATCCTATTTATTGTTAAAGATGTTCGTATTAATTTTCATGAATGGCAATATATTTTTTATAAAAATTCATAAAATGAATAGCGAAATTTGCAGAACAATTTTTATGGCGCATGTGGATATTTTTACTATAATATATTGTAAATAACTCTACAATACATTCTCTAAAATATTTGGAAATTTTTACTACAAATTTCCCTATATGTACTATTTATTGTTGAGAAAAAATTTACAATTGTAGATATTTTTGTTATACTTTTTTTTCGTGATAAATTGGACATAAATAAGTTAAAAACAGTTGATCAAATTCAAAATGTAGGTAAGCAACTAAAAATTGACTTTCAATCGGCATAAAAAAATCGGTTTAAAATTTAAGTTACAACAAAAAGCACGTTTTTTGTGCTCTTTTCCTGTACACGGATTTTAAAAATAAAAATTAACAGGATAAACAAAATATCGAGTATTTCCATTAAGTATGGTATTTAGAATCAGCTTGTAGGGTTGCCAACCCTCCCGATTTAGGCGAGCGGCTTCCGCTTTTTATTAAATCTCCCGCCTCCTGCGCACCTAAATGAAACTCCCTCTTTTCGGCAAAATAGAAAAACCGTTAAATAAATATTTTAAATTAGGTGACCTATTTTTATTTTTAGTTGGTACTAATTTGTTTTTATATTTATTTGTTTTTGTTTCTTTTTATATATCCATGTTTTCCTGGAAAAATATGGCCAAGATTTGTAAAATAGTTTCGCAAATTATTCTTGATCAATTTAATTCATATTTGGGGTGTATTAGTATTAAATCGAAGCAGGGCTGAACCCGACAAGATGAATGTCCAACATCAAAATTCATTTTTTTTGTCATTTAGACTTATTGGCGCGTCTATTCTGTACACCGTGTATATATGCAATTGATTTGTTGGTGGTTAGTCGCGCGACATATGCGGATGTCCGGGAGTGCCATACCACAGGAAGAGGGGTGACTAGGAATCCATGTTGGTGCAGTTTACCGGTCTCTACCCGTGCCTAGTCGTACCCGAACAGTACTCGTTTTTCGAACACCTGGAGGATTTAAAATAAATACGCAATGCCCCGTGCCAACCTTTTTCAAACAGATGGCTCTCACGTTATGGTTCGATGAATAATCAAATTTCATATATAGTTCTTATAATTTTATCTAACAAGGCATGTAAGTAAGGTCACTAAACTAAATAGTTTTTTTTAATAATTTTTTTAACTAGAACATATTTTTATTTAATTAAAATTAAATTTATTTAGCAATGAAGATTTTATATTTTGAATATTTCTAACACATTTAAGGCAATTTACTTATTACATTATTAGTAGAAATTCATAAAGTACCAGAGTGTTAACAGTGCATAAAAAGAAGAAATTTTTGAAAATTATAATCTTTTATGAACTGAAACTATGCCAATTTATCAAATAAATAAAAATCCAAATTTATGAGTATTTTTCTCATATAAATAATAATTCCAAGGATAGTTGATAATGAGTACAATAATTTTACTTTAAATAAATTATAGACAACGTTGTTATCAACTTTACCGAAAACTTACAATATGCATAATGCCACCAGACCAAATCTAGACATACATGCTATAATAATCGTAATAATTTCTCTATTTCACGCCTTACGTGTGAATTTTAACCTCCTCAAGCCGACTGAACTTGAGTAGGGAAGGGACGGCTATTAGTATTTGCCGTGGCCCTTCGGGGCGACTTAAAGATGATTGATGGTGCCATTTGACTTACAGGAAGGAAAACCCGGGAACACTCACCCACCATCATAATAAATAAATGGAAACTAAAATAGATAAACGAATATTAAAAAAAGAATGACAAATGAGTTAAAGAATAAATAGACTTAAAGTAAAGTATCTAAAGAACTCACAGGACGAAGCTCCTGACTATTGTATAATTAAGAAAACGTATCCTACTCTTTTTACGTGCTACCGAAGATACTTTTTAGTAAAGTACGATGAATTACACACTGAAATATTTTTTGTATATGCAGATGTATCACAATACAGCATCCTGGAATACCAATGAATACGAATTATTTTTTTTTGATTGCCTTCATGAATTTTTATATGTATTAACCACAAAAATCAAAAAAATTATAATAACTACGGTTGTTATATCAATAAATCAGTTTCCCAATATGAGGTATAATTTCATCATTTAGTAATCTGATAACGAATTTGTGCATAAAAAATAATATAATGATCAAATTAGATTATATGTGTAAAGGAAACACGACGTAAAAACTAACTTACCTGTTGGGACATTTCCCCTAGGTTTAGCTCCTAATATTGCTAAATTTACATTCGCTTTTCTTCCATCTATAATAGGATTTGGGTCTTTACATGCTCTTTCAGCTGAAGCTCTATCGCCCATTATCACCTGAAAAAAAAAAATTCTGTGTAAAAATCAATAAATTCTACATTTCAAGATTTTGGTTTTCTTTTATTTTGATTTCTTATATTTTAACATAAAGTAGATTTTAAGATTTTACAAAATTACCATTGTTCTCAATTTTTTTTATGACGCGGCCTCTTTTCAGTGCCGTAGCGACCAATTGTTCCCCTTTCCGCAAGTATTAACTAGGAGCCCCCTATCAAAAATAAGGTCATGTTATAACCAAATAAAGTGAAATAAAAATAGGTGATTATTTATTACCATATTATATGTAAAATATCAAAAAACAGACGAAAGAAACAAAATTGTTGAAAAAAAAACAAAACTATTACGCAGAGGCGCCTCGTGACCAAAATTTTGGGGGTTCACAGTGACAGAATATAGATATCAGTACAGATGTATGAAAAAAACTTTCAGTGTTTTAGAAAGTTTGTAATATACTTTTCTAAAACACTGACAGTTTTTTACCTATATCTGTACGGATATTTATATTATGCTACTGTGAACCCCCAAAATTTTGGTTACGAGCCGCCCCTGCTATTACGTAAATATAAAAAACAAAGGAAAAGACTAATTTTTAAAGTCCGTGTCACAGAAACATCGAGCGACTGTTTCTCTCCTGAAAAAAAAAACAACTACTCCCTAGGCTAATACCGCCACAGGCATGGCATTTTATCAAAAGGAAAATATAATATAATATTATATAAATATATAGAAGATATAATTTTTAACACTCTAGCCTTTATTTTGTTTCCTACGGAGAACGTCATTCCTGGACCGGTTTCGTCCTTATTATGACCCATCAGCAAGAATTAGACAATCTCGATTTCAGTCTCTAATAAAGATGTGTTACCACTCATTTACTATTTAAGTAATAATTGATAAAGACTTGGGTCTAAAAGGGTTTACATTTTTAAGAATTTTATTTACCACACTATCAAATTGTATAATTAATAATTTATCCAAGAAATTGTGTGACAATTACCTACTAGTTTATTATAATTACAAGAAAAGTAACCAAAAATGCAGCTTGAAGTATGACAGTATGTAGTATGCCAAAAAAATAATAATCGTAGTAGTTGCGAAAACAATACCATAGGCTAGTAAGTAGGTAATCCATTTTCCATAGAATTGTCTACGGTGATAACATTTTTTATTATGTAAAGTAAAAATAATTTGCAATATACAACTGGTAGTACCGAATGTACTTATCCACGATTGTAATGCGACACTGAGGTAGAAAAACTATTTTTGTACGATAAGATAGGTAAATAAATAGAAAATTAACTCAAAAAGAGATAAGGTACTAGCGTTTAAAGTATGACGAATGCATATTTTATGTATATTATTAAAGTCTGAATAAACTACAATGGTTGATAATTAAGTTAAAAATGTTTAGGTATTAACAAAGACATTCAACCCAGTTTATTAGTAATACTACTTGACCTTATAAATATAATTATAAATAAAATGTATTTAAAAAGAGTTCCGAGCAAACAAGATTTCATTTGTAGAAGAGACGAACGAAGAAATAACAAACATTTAATTCCTAAAGTTTGAGAGTACTTGCCAGCTTTTCATCCTAATTAATTTTTACTCTATTGTAGAAAATCCTCTAATTTCTATATTGAAGTTGCTTATGTTTTCCAAAGCTGAGCAAACACGATCTCTAGTATCTTACATAGCCGATTTTTACTATTGTCCGTTTTCTCTGCAAACGAAGAAACGTAGGTATGTCTCCTTGAAACTCTAGCGAGAGTCTTCCTTCCTCACCTCTTGCACAATCGATAACAAAATGTTCGTATTTTAAACAACCGAGAATTATGCAGACGTTTGTTCCTTGATCCATTAGAAATAAGCACCTTTTGTATACTGAAATCATCAGATCAATTTGGACTATTTAAAAAGTGTGTAGCTAACAATTGGCCACTCCACTCCTGGTTTTACTGCTTAAATTGGCTTTACACTAGTAGTACTGAGATTTTTCCGTTTTGAACATACATATATACCGTATGTACCATTCTTAAGTTCTCTATAATATAGAAACGCAATTTTCTTTATTTCGCCACCCAATTAATAATGTTTACTAAAAGTTATAGAAACTCCAGTTTATTTGAAATAATATAAAATCTATGAAGCTTTCATTGAGAGAAATTTAAATTAAGAACCATTATCTTGCTTAGAACTGCAAATCAACGATATAGCCTTTAAAAAAGTTTGAGAAATTGGAACATGAAAAAAAGGAAAAAATTCAGAGGGGGGGCAATAGAAAAGTCGTCAAATTAATTGACTTTATTACTTTAAAAGTTACTTAACAAATAATAATGAATTAACAAAATGAAAAGACTGGGGGCGATTGGGTGTTTGGACCAATTCCATTACACATTTTATGTGTATTATTTCGCAGAAATCTTTTATTATATTATTAATAAATTAATTAATGAAAAAATACAGGCACTTAGTATAAAATTTGTCACATCGAAGTCACTAGTCAAAAGAATTATTTAGATCGATGATAACATATTTTAAACGACATGTGTAGATGAAAGTTTATTAATAATATTAAGTATTTACATATTGATAAGAAATAACAGCAGTTTTGCGAATCTTTCTGTTTACTATTAAAGGACTAAATGATTATATTAATTAATTTACAAAGAGAATTTAAAGGATGGCTAACACACTAGGAGAGCTTTAAAAATAATTGGGCAGTATAAAAACTGATAAATGGAACAATTTCTCGGGTATGAGACAGGCTCAAATACTTCTGGGTGACTATAACCAGAAAAGATCAACCTTATCTACCTAAGCAAGAACAGGCTACGCATTTAAACAGGATCCTTACTGGGCATTGCCAATTCAAATTACACCTTAATAAACTGGGACTAATAGAAGATAGTGAGTGCAGATTATGTGATTCATTTATATTTTGACTGAATGTGTAGCATTCCAAAATCCAGGGGCACTATAATTACGAGCATAACTACCAAATACAAAAGGGCGATTTACCTAATTTGCAGCCACTCCATCCTACATTTCCTTGAGAAGATAGGAGTGGAAGGGATGTTATAGGAATCGAGACTATTCCCTTGCTGCATTAGCGACAGAAGTAGGTACAATAGATATTGTCACCCATCACCCTACAGTGTGTTGCGGCGTCATAAGTAAAAGTACGAGTAAAATAAGAGACAATAGTCTAGAAATGTCTAGAAATGTCTAGAAATGTCTAGAAATGTCAATTACCAAAAACCAGCGTAACATTAGTGACAGTGGTGGGATATAAAATAAAAATTACCTAAGCATTCTATTTATGGTAAATACTAGATCCACTTATCCACTACGTACGAAACAGATATGGACCACAAGCATTGTTTTTGAAAATGGAAGAGGGAAGAGAAAGGCGAGAAGAGGAGAAGGAAAAGCGCAGGAAGGAAGAAGAGGAAAAGAGAAAGACGCAGGAAGAAGGAAGAAGAGGAAAAAGAAAGACGCATGAAGAAGGAAGGAGAGAAAAAGGAAAGGTAGAGGAAGGAAGAAAAGGAGAAAAAGAAAAGGAGCAGGAAGGACGAAGAAGAGAAGAGCGAAAGGCGAGAAGTGGAGAAGGAAAGGTGTAGGAAGAAAGAGGAAAAGGAGAAAAGAAGCGATGAGAATTATACATGGTTTGCTACAAATTCAGGAAACCTTTAAGCAAGAGGTTGATCAGCTTAACATTTGAGTAGATAATTTAGAACAAGGAAATTTAAAATGTAATTTAGAGCAACAGCAGGAGTATTTGAAAGCAAATTTAGAACAACAAGCACAGGCTAGAGTAGAGTTGGAAAGGCAAATTAGAACTAAAATGGCTGAGTTAGAAAGAATTCGTAGCCAAGCTTCAGTAAGCAACATTGAAGCTGAAAACACAACCTCGTCTGTATCTATAACCCAACCTAGTCACATTCGAACCCCAGATTCACAAAACCATACTCTCAAGACCCTTAAGCCACCCACATTTGACGATCAGACAACTTGTGAACCGGTATCGGCTCCAATTTGAAGTTGCGGCAAGAGCCAATAGCTGGGCCGAAAAAGAGATGGCGGCTTCATTAATGGTGTCGCTACAAAGGCCTGTAATAATCGTTTTATAGTTACTTCCTAAAAAGAACCCAGTTATTCGTCTCTCGTCCAAGCTTTGGAGACAATATATAGCCAGCACCATTTGAAACAGGTATTCCAAAGCCAGCTAAAAGTTCGTAGTCAAAAATACAACGAGAGTCGATATAAAAAGATTGCTGCATCTGGCCTATCCACACGCACCCAAAGATTTCCTAGAACAAATCGGCATACAGGCATTCATTGATAGACTACAGGATGTCAAAATGCAACAGGCTCTTAGGCTACAACATCATAAGACGCCGAGTGAGACACTGATAACAGACGCAGGCTACTGCAGGTTAGAGGTTAACAATATTTTAGGTCGCAGTGTATTAATACCCCACACATAACATAGGATGGCTAGGTTTAGAGCGTATATATTTTGTTAACGTTCAATAGACAGGGTCCTTGTCAAAGATAAGGATGTTAGAAATAAGTGAAAAACAAAAGGAGACAAAAGATTAAAGGAAGATACAACATATAAAGCAACGCTTTAAAATGCTCTTAAAAGAAGAAGATTGATAGGGACCCTCTGAAAAAGACAAAGGTATATTCTATCAGCAAGAATAAGCAAAGAAGCTTTGCGGAAAATGAAAAGGTGTAGCTAGATATAACCTAATGGATTTCCTATATAGAAATGTCAACTTGTTGAGCTGTTCAATAAAATATTGAAAGTGATAAAAAATACAAGCCGAAAGTACACGTTGCTGAGGCGATGTGCGGAGCCATTTTAGGAGTTGCACCTAAACGTAAGAAGATGAGAGAGATAGGTTAAAGTGGAGGAGATATATTCACAACCACACGGCTGACTCTAACTAGACAACACCAGTTGTTCATTATGTTTATAACTTTTCTAG